ATGGCCTCATCATCAGCATGCATGTCGTCGAGCACGAGGGGGGAGGCGTCTTCATGCAGCTGGACGTGACATGGCGGAGAGTGGCGAAGTCCTACTCGTCTGTTTAAGTTTGTATGGGAAAACACTTTCCACAAATTGTACACCTCGAGAAACAAGAATTTTACGACTGTGAAGGTCATAAATTCTATATCCCCGTTGAGTTTCTGGATAACCGAGAAAGAGGCCCACTCTCCCCCTCTCCGCAAATTTGTCAAGTCCATGGTGAGTATCTTTTGCATAAGCTAGACACCCAAAAGAGCGCATGTGCAAATAAGACGGTCGTTTGCCGAGGAGAACCTCGAATGGTGTCTTTCTAGCTAGAACGGAATAAGGTAATCGATTGATCAGGTAGGTGGCGGTGAGCACACAATTGCCGCCAAACCTCACTGGTAGCCCTGCATGAAACATGAGAGCACGGGCTGTTTCCAAGAGATGACGGTGCTTGCGTTCCGCAACTCCATTCTGCTGCGGTGTATCCGTGCACGAATTATGAAGAACCATACCATTCTCCGCATAATATGCCCGAAGAGTCAGAGTCTTGAATTCGGGGCCGTTATCAGCTTGAATCCTGCGCCCGGGACGGCCAAACTGAGTACGGGCTAACTCACAATGTAGTTTGATATAACGCTCGACATCAGACTTATACTTCATTAAATAAACCCAAGTAGAACGACTATGATCATCAACAATAGTAAGAAAGTAACGCGAACCATCTAAGGTCGGCGTACTATATACGCCCCAAATATCCTTGTGAAGCAATTTAAAACTGCCACTGGTTTTTATTGTGCTCAAAGTAAATGGAAGTTGAGTCTGTTTAGCCCTTAAACAGGAATCATAGGGTAAATGATCCCGAGTAGAAATAGTACAATCCAAAGAATCTCGTAAACCAGCCAGTTTAGCCAAGGATGGATGACCGAGGCGAGTGTGCCACAAGGTTGAGGACTCCTCAAGTCGCGTTGCCTTGTTTGCTTGACGTTGCACAATCATACCAAGCCGAGGAAGGTAATAAAGTCCATCCCTAAGTCGTCCCACTCCAATCAACGTCTTGGAAGGTAAGACCTGAAGTGTGCAAAAATCATGCAAAAAAGTTACCGCCACGTTGTGATCCCGTGCTAACCGACTAACTGAAAACAAGTTGCACTTGAAAGCGGGGACGTGTAAGACCCTGTATAGACAAATAGATTCACTAAATTCAACCTACCCCATAGCCATGACGGGAATACCAGAACCGTCCGGTATACGAACTTGAGACTGCCCATGTACCGAATCAACTGTATCCAACCAACCAATATCACGAACTATGTGTTCGTTACAACCTGAATCTATCAACCACATGCCGGGGTCAGAATGATTACCAGCCATATGTGTCGTGGGTGTGGACGGTGACTCTGTAGAACTGGAGGTCAAGAACTCCTTAAGCTATGCGAGTTGAGCCGCAGTGAGACTTGGAATGGGAGACCCTCTTCTGGTTTGACATGCGCGTCTTTGGTACGTAAAGGGGCAACGGGAGGATCGTCGTTGGACTTCGCTCGAGGGTGTCCTGGAGGGTACCCATTCAAGTTGTAGCAAGTGTCTCGAGTATGCCCTTGCCGATTACAGTGAGAACAACGAGGTTTGTCACTGTCAACTCTAGGCTCTCGATCCGCAAGGGTCTGGAAGGCAGCCGTGTCCACAAGCGGTCGACTGGTGCTGGCAATATTCCGGTGCTGCTCCTTGGCAGCCACCATCTGATACACATCAGCCAAGGAAGGAGTTGGTTTCAGGTCGAGAATTTGTGAGCGAATGTCGGAATACATGTCATCAAGCCCCATGAGAAACTCGAACAACTGTTTAGTGTCTTGCTTCGCCTGATACTCGCAGATCCAATAACACGAGCAACCTCCCCAAGTGCAGCGGGGAACTCCCCCTATCGACTGCATCTCGTCCCATGTTGAACGCAGCTTGGTGTAGAACGCCGAGACCATTAGTTTCTCCTGGCGATCCACATGGATAGCTTTGTATTTCATAGATTAACTGGTGCTTCGCTTTGTCCTCCAGTGAACCACACCACAGTTAGCTTGACTATCCAGCGAATAGTCTCAAACTCTATTAGTTGGAAAACATATTTCAAAGTGTAGTATTGTAGGGTTTGTTGTTGTTGTAACCCTAGAATTTTAGAATTTCCCTCCCTTCAATACCACATACAGAAGCCCATACATAAACTCATCTTGTAGCCTATACAGTACGCATAGTTGAAGATATATTCACGGATTACACAACTCACCACGCCTACCTCGTCTGCACTCCTCTGACTTCCGCTACCCCACACCAAAATTCTAACACTCTGTTTGGTTAACAAGGGAAGGGGCCAGGTGTAAATTATAGGGGTAAACACACTTCCAACAACTTTACTCATGTTTGGTTAAGTTGTAATAGTAGGGGTGCAAAATGTAGTAGGGGTGCAAAATGTAGGGTGTAAATTAGAGAGGTAATCCCAATTTCTAATCGGGGTCCACTTGCAAGGGACGAAAGGAGGAGGGGGAGAGCGATTATGGATTTCTTTAAGTTTCAATTATATAATAAGTAATATTATCAATTTTTATATGTATTATTAATGTAGATGTTGTTCAGGTGTGAACATTTGGATCTGCGAGCAAGTTTGTCATGGTTCATCTAGTCAAATTAAGATCTCTTGGTTCGAATTTGCATTGAAAATTATAGAGAGTTTCTGTATGTCAAAATGTAGAGAAATGAACGGTTTGGTTGACTCAATTTACTTAACTAAATAGCTAAAATGTTACAAATTCGAACGTGTTTGACTAAGTTATACCAGATCCAATTTAAAGTTAAACTGGACACGAGAACCCTGTACGATAACAAGTACGTGTTGGGCTTAAAACTTCGAGTTTGCTTGACCACTGATTATTATAATAGTTATAATTAATTACTTTTTGATAAGCACTATTTAATAATTATTTTATTTAAGTATTTATTAATATATATGATTATTATATAAATAATTTTGTATATTTTGAAAATATTTTATAAATTTAATAAATTTATTTTATAATTATATATTTACTTAGTTTTCACTCTATTTGCATTCCTAATTTTTCATTTCGAACAACAATTTCCCCTCTCATTTATGTCTCTACCAATTTCCTTCTCAACTTGCACCAAACTCAAATTTGCATTCTTAGTTGCCAAATAGAGTGTAAGAATATATAAATCCACTGATTACTTACCATAATCAAGATGCCCTCTTTTTCTTCTTTATGTTGGTTTGTCCAACAACATTGTGGTGCAGAGTAGAGGATGATCAATGGTTTTTCTCGTCTCAGTTAGAAGAGAAGGGGGCTTTTGGGGAATATGAATAACTAGGATGTAGGGGTTAGCTGATAATGAAAAACAATTAAGGGTTCTGGTTTTTTTTTTTTTTTTGTGTCGAGTTTTGTTAAGCAATGAAATTGCTTATGTGGGATAATAGAGATTAGGTGTCGTCACGTCATCACCGTTAGCACTTTGTCACTGCTGCTAAGATGACATCCGTAGGGTTGGAACAGAAGTAAGGAATGCTGATCTTTTATATAAGTTCAATAGTTTAGTTGAATTAAAAATGAGTCAAGTGGTAAGATACATAAATAGAACAAGTGCAGTGACCAATGATGACTTTCACCCCAAAGTAGACCTGATAATCGGGTCGGATTGTGTAATTTTGAGTTAGGTTTTCAGATTATGGGTCGGGTCATGTCGGGCGGGGTGATCGATTTTGGGTCAAATATTGACCCAATTCATTTGATTTTGGCTCGGGTTACGGGTCATTTCGGGTTATGAGCGTTCTCGGAAACAATATCAAACATGCTTCATATTTTGTTTAAGAACACAATATTCACATATGCATGGCGTTATCTAAGACATGTCAATTAATATATTCTCAAATCCTCCCATGCTAATGAAATGAAATACAAAAAAAATCGTCAAAAAACAATCACAAGAGAAATACTACTACAAGAGACACATGATATTTGATTGTCCTTAAACTCCAAACATGTATTTCAAATCCTTCAAATTCTTGTGAATTTTTTTAAACATCTCACCAATTTATGACTGATTTTATCATTTTGGGAGTTACATATGAAATGGAACGGGTCTAACGGGTGGACCCGCTAACCCACCCGACCCGACCCAAAAAATGAAGGGTTAATCGGGTTCGGGTCATTCGGGTTTTGGGTTATAAAAATTCCAATTTTTCGGGTGAGTTCGGGTCGGGTCAACGGGTCGGGTTGTAATTTGCCAAGTCTACTGCCCAAAGTGATCTATCTACCTTATTATCTCCAAGTTAGTGACTAATTGTATCTCCAAGTGATCTTCAAAGTCCAGATGACCAGGTTTGTCAATCTTGTTGCTACTCTCTAAATGTTTTCCAGTGATTAGGAGGTTTGGTTTCTCCATGTGGATAGTAAGGGAAATTTCTTGGCTTATTAGCTTCCCAAACTGAGACCCCTTTGGGGAATGCTCCTTTATCAGACTATCCAGCTCAGTGCATATGAAATTTGGGTGAAGATTTTTCAAAAACATATACCTACAGACATGAATGGTTGGTTGCAGCTCTCCATCTCCTCTCACTCTCGGTTGCTATAAAAGAACACATATAGTGGTGTATTGGCTTTTCTCAGTCAGGGTTGCAAATGAGGTAATTCATTACTTCTCATGAAAGAATCTGATGCATAGTGGACCAGAAAAGTTTTGCAATTTCAACTTTGCCCCAACTCTCGAGATGACAGAGGCCTGCTGGAAATGATGGCCGAGTACAGCTACTGGGTAAAACATCAATGAAAAACAGGGGTTCCAATGTGATTCTTTCCTTCTCCAAAGATTCCCCTTGTTTTAGCAACCGGAAAGAAGCAGCCCTGGAGAGCAATAATTTCTCCTTATAAAACAGCATAGATTGAAGCTTTCCATAAGGAGGGATTGGAGCGGGGCCAGACTTAAGCTCCATTCTAATTTTTAGCTTTGCTCATTCATCGACCAAAACCATCTCTGTTTTCCCCTGTTTCTATTTTCCAGCCTCCCCTGTTCTCTCTGCCTCAGCTGTTTTTATTTTTTACTCTTCCCCTGCTCCTTGACAAAATGCGGGCTGACATATCTTCGTGGATGTGGTTTCTGTTCACGTTAGCCGTGATACTCGCCGCGGTTTCTCCGTCGTCGTCGACAGTGAGCTTGTTAACTACTAATGTTCTCCATTGGGAGATGTCGCGGCTTCCTAATATGGATCAACTCAGAGCTCAGGACCTAGCCACGCATGCCCGTCTGTTTAGCGGTGTCCCCGACTTATATGTCTTCGGATCCGCCGTTCCCGGCCTCTACGGGTAACGTTTCTTCACCGGAGTTTTCTGCTTCTGTTTTTTTCTTTTCATTTTTAGCGGCAAAAGATGGGACACAAAGCTCATACGGTATGGCGTCGTCCTGTGTCTAGAAACGTTATGTTCTTGGTTTTCTGCTTGCATTTGATCCTTCACGGTTACCTTTCTTCCTGTTGTTAATGGTTAATTACTAGATACTTGGATTCAATGGTTTCCTCGTAATCTTGGTGGTGGGTTTTGGTTTTTGGCAGGATTTACTACACGAAAGTCAAGCTGGGCTCTCCTCCTCAAGAGTTCAGCTTGCAGATAGATACGGGCAGTGATCTGCTTTGTGTCAACGCCAAATCTTGTGCTAACTGCCCACGCTCCAGCAGTTTCACGGTGAGTGGTTCTTAGAATTATTGTTGTCCTAATGGCTTTGGATCAAATTCATGAGAAGAATTGATGGTTTTTTGGTTGTCAAAAGTAAAAACCCTAGAATGCAACGAGATGTAGTAGGGGATGACTGTGAGAAATACTTTTGAAACTCTAGTAGAAGCATTCTAATCAATGTGCTAAAAAAAGAACGATTTGTTGAAATTTTAGGTTATTGATGTTGTGGTCTCACCATCCGCGACTCGTATAACAAACGAGGGATGCCAGTGTTACTTAATTAGTTCCAGGTTTGACATTCTACTATGAAATGAATAGTTCAACGATAATGTTTCATATATCGCATTGTGAACTTAGAATGTCTTTCTTCATGCCATTCAGTGTATCTCAAGTATTTCCTGTATCGAGCTTTAATTTTGCCAACCACGCTTCTCTCATATTAAAACCAACAGACCACCTTCATCAATCCTTTGTAAGTTGATATCCTTCTAATTTTGGCTTTCTGATTCTTTTGTCATAAATTCATGAAATTCACTTGTTTCTACTTCATTGTAGATGGATTTTGGTGGTATGTGGTGCAATAGGCTTGGTGCAGAAGTCAGGAGTGACTATCTTAGGAGGTTAGTTTATATATAATTTTGTTAAAAAAAGCTCGAATGTCGTCCTTCAATAGATGTCTTGCAAAACACCAAATTAATTGGCTGATTAAGAATGTTCTAACTTTGATTGTCATGTCTTGTTCTAATGTCCAGATCTTGTTCTAAAAGACAAGATTTTCGTGTACGATTTGGTCCATCAGTAGATTGGATGGACCAACTACAACGGTAAGTTCAATAAAACAGTCATACATGTATCTTGACTTCCTTCGCTTGTTCCTTTTTGTTTCAACTAGTATCGTTGATTGGATATTTGCTTCTCTCCTCATCCAGGCTTGAAGGCACCAAATGTCTATGTTCCTAAACACCCAAGCTAAAGTTGTTCTACTGACATGCCGATGCCGTTGATGTTGCTGCCTCTAGCAATATGCATCATTCTCTTCTTACAAATATCACCGGTGATTGAGATCAAGACAATGTAACTTATTGTTCATTACGAAGGAGATTGGTATTTTAGGTATCTTATCCATGTAGCATCTATACATTCTCTGAACGAGATTATCAATGATTTATTCCTCCTCGTTACCCTTATTCGTGGCCTTGTTATGGTGTGAGCTACTAATGAGACGGGAGTGTGCCATTTGGCAGGATGTTATAGTAGTACAAATAAAACATTACCTTGTTTGTGATTTAGATTAGAAAAGAAGGTCATTTCTGATTTCTGATTTTTCACTTTGAAATAAACATGACTATATGACTATACACCACCCGCATCTGACGATAGGGCGTGTCATATACAAATTTAGTTCACACAATTCGTGTGAGAAAGGCCAGCGCTCCCGCTTTAGAGCGCGAAATAGGGCATTTACGGGAAATTTTTGAAAAATCGCGAATTATTATAAGTTGGAGCGCGTATTATTAGGAGAAAATCGTCGACTTTATTTTGACAAAAAATCTTCTAAAACTAATAAACTTAAAGAGTTCTTAAACCACAGAAAGGAATCGGCCAGGAGAGGACAACTAATTTGGGAGATCTTTCTTGTGAAATCGAAGTAATAGGAAAGAAAGCACGAAGATATCAACATATACAACCCGAAGATGATGAGTTGCTGGCTTGTTGCTTGAGATTTGGAGAGTAAAGAAACAAGACAGAACTGAAGTTTTCAGCAAATAAGAAAACCAATTAATTGCTCCTGTAGCCTTGATATTTACATGCATGGGTTTGTTAGTTGATCTGATACTCACCGGCGAAGAGCAGATCTAACCTTTTTACAGCGGAGGCAGAATTCAACGGAGTGCAATCGAATTGAAAAAAATTGAATGAATAAAGTGAGGATATGGTGCGGTCTACAAATTCTTCAATATGCTAAGAAAATTTTCAGTGTTAGAATCTTAAGAAGATTGGGAACAGAAAGAAAGTAGTAGAGATATTAGAAACAGAGAGAACAGTTGGATAGAAATTTGGGGAAGAACTATGAAGACGAGAGAGACGAGGGGGTATTTGGGAAAGTTTTGGGGTTGTTGGGGGGTAGGGGTGTCAGTCGGTCATTTAGGTTTAACCAAAAACTGATTTCTCGGTTATCGGTTAAACCGAGCCACCTCCTCCTTCTACCGACCACCGACCGTGACAGATAAAACGGCTAGCCGACCACCGATCGGTCGGTTATCGGTTTTGGTTCGGTTAGTCGCATACCCGAAAAGCACACCCTTCTCTTCAAAAAATTATTAAAAAAATTCCAAAAATCTGCCCACGACTTAAACCTTATCTCCTTCCTCCATTTTCAAAACAGTTGCAAAAATCCGCCCAAAAATCCCCAAAAATCCGCCCACCCTCTCTCCTTCCTTTCTCCATTTAAACTAGGGCTGGGAATCCTGTTCCGGTTTTCCGGTTAAACTGGAAACTGGCCAGTTTAAACTGTCCCGGTTGTAACCGGAAACCGAATCCCAATTACCCCCAATCCAGTTTGCGGTCGCAGTGGTCACAGCCCGGTCCAATCAGGTTAAAACCCGGAAAACCGGATATCCCAACTTCAGCCCATCTGTCCAGCCAGCCCACTCAACAAATTAGGCCCACGCCCAACTAAAGGCTATGCCAACCTGCCCAAATCTCTAAAGCCCAAAAACCCAACCCTAAACCACCTCCCTCAACCTCACCCTTGAAGGCGCAGGCGCGCTTCTCCCATCTCTTCCCTTCTCTCTGATCTCTTCCCAATGGCAAAGTGAAAAACAAACCATCACCCTCCCAACTCCCAACTCCCACCCTGCCACCAACACCTAAATCGAACCCTCTCTCTCTCTTCTCGCTCATTTCTCTAATCTCACTCACCCTCTCTGTTTGCCCCTCATCTGACTCCATGATGTTAGCGGCGAGTCGATCGATTTGAAGCGTCCGCAGCTCTGCCTCTCTCTTCTTAGTCTCAACAGCCGATCTGAAGCGACCGTCGCTCTGTTTCTCTCTCAGATCAAAACATGCATGCCGCCTCCATCTGGATCTCTTCCATATCAAAATATGCAAGGAATCGCCTCATCCCTTTTGCCTCCATCGGGTTTGTTTGTGGGTTAGGATTTAAGAAGGAACAGAGGATAGAGAAGGGATGAGATGGCTTTCTTATTGTCCCATAAGAAACAGAGAGATGGAAATTGGAAGGGGAGAGAGAGAACGGGAGGGAAGGAAATCTCTGGAAATTGGAAGGAGAGAGAGAAAGAAAGAGAGGGAAGGATTGCCGTGAGGATTGGGATTTGGGGGGTTATTGATTTTTTTATTTTAATAATAAATCTAGTGTGTTTGCGTTTTAAACGGTTTTTTGATTAAAACCGGATTAGTCCATTCCGGTTTTGCTCAAAACCGGATGTTATCCAATTCCGTCTTCAGTTGTGGTATTGATCAAAACGGTTTTAAAACATTGGGTCAATCCGGTCCGGTTTTGACTGGACCGGATTGTTTTCCACCCCTAATTCAAACCTCCCACCACCACCAGGCAGGCCACTATAGACATGGAGGAGAAGCAGAGGCATAGTGGCGGCGAGTGGAGGCGGACGCCGAGGCAAGGCGGACGCCGAGGCAAGGCGGTTGGCGATTCGAGGAGCAGAAGCAGGGGGTCGAGCACGCGAACGGCGGATCGGAGGCCCTTGGTCGTCGCGGTGGTGGAGACGCAGACTCAGGCGATGGCGGGTTGACGGCGATGCTGCGGGAGGGCTGGTGGAGGATTGAAGGGAAGAGCCGAAGAGGAGAGTCGAGAGGAGAAGAAGAGAAGACGAAGAGGAAACTCAGGCGATGGCGGGTTGACGGCGTCGCAGCATGCAGGGCCGGCGACGGCGGCAAGCTTTGGTCTTTGTTGGCGGCGAGAAGGAGGAAAGGGTGACTGCGGGCGGCGCTGCGCGAGAAGGTAAGGGTTTGGGGAGGCCGGTTAGGCTGTTAGGGTTTTGGCTGTTGGGGGTCGTTATGGGCGGGATGGTGCGGGGTCGTTTTGGGCGAAGTGCGGGTTGTTTTGGAGTAAAGGGGAAGAGGTCGGTTAGCCGGTTAACCGCCAGTTTCCTACCACGGTTAATCGGCTAGCCGAGCCTCTTTTCCTCTCCTCCGACAACCGACCGCCGACGTTTGAGGACGGTTTTCGGTGAGCCGAAAAACGGTCGGTTCGGTCGAAACCTTCCGGTTAACTGCAAACCGAAGACTGTTCTGCCACCCCTAGTTGGGGGTAGTGAATAGTGATAGTATATACTACTTTTCCCATATATATATATAATATGATAATTTAAATAATCAATTTAGGGTTGTAAAGAAATAATAATTCATATTCTGCATTTGCTATATTTTGGTTTGATTAGTAATTTAAACTATAGAACTTCCCTTTTCCAAATTATTTTTTCTAGGAGTTGTGCCAGTATTTTATCATAATTAATTGATATATTAAATAATATTTTAATTATAATAATATAATATTCACATTTTTTTGTCGCTTTTAATATTTAATTCTTGAACAATAGCTCAACTCGCTCCCGCTCTTGCTATTGCTTCATGAATCGATAACCTAAATACAAATGCATATGGAAAACCTATCTTCTTCTACCTCCCATTCAAATTTGTCCTATTTGCTCTTATCCAAATATCAGCTCCATCGATATTGAATTATTGATAGTCTTGTAGTTGTTGTTGAGATATAGGGTTTTAATGTAAGGGCCTTTGGCCCATGGGGTGTCTCGGCCGACAATGTAATGCCGAGAATGATCGTAACATTCGGCTAGGGTTAGGGTATGGCTTCAATGATGTATAAATATGTATCTGTGTACACGTATGGGGGCAAGGAAAATAAAAAAAAAAGTAGAAAGCTTCCCGTGGACTAGTCTTGTGCACAACGAACAAGGGAACCACGTAAACTCGTCTCGATTATCTTCGTTTGCTTCGGCTATTGTTAATCTTGTGTCGATTATAACTGTAGGCCACTCCACTGACCTGTAGATTTGTAACGTACCTTAATTATGCCACTTGGGAATAACTTGATCGACCTATTAAATTAAATTAAAAAAATACAAAGTATATACATTGACCATCCGCCAACAGGCGAAACATATTTCCACAAGAAAACCAAAGACCATATTCGAGCAAAGACTGGAAACAGGTCCATGATTGAAAGATTACAAAATTATGGTACTCATGCATCCAGAGTTCTCGTCAGAACTAGAAATGCTTTTGCTCGTCCATTCTATCCTATGAATGAATTTGAGTGTTATTATGGACACTAATTTTGTCTCAATCACTTTCTTAATTCACCTCGTTCTGTATATATACGATCAATCTGATCACCTCTTCCATTCATCAACCACTTAATCTTCTTACCCAACACGACACAATCAACCAAAATTAGTGAATTCATAACCGAACATGGCTTCTCCAATCACCACAACAATGGCTGTATCACTTTCACTAACACTAACCCTCCTCACATTGGTCAACGCTGAAGCCGCCGGGGGCTTCACCGTTGACCTAGTCCACCGCGACTCCTCCAGCTCACCATTCTACGACCCCCTCGAAACGCCAGCTCAGCGCATTCGAAACTCTCTCAAGCGATCCTTCAGTCGCGCCCAAAGATTCAGCGCCGCGATGGCGGCCACGTCATCTCCAACAACCACTTCCCGTCGTCGCCGCCGTGGCGGCGCCGACTCACCGTTGGCCGCCAGCGACGGGGAGTACCTCATGAACATCTCCCTCGGCACGCCGCCGTTTCCAATCGTCGCGATCGCCGACACCGGCAGCGACCTCATATGGACGCAGTGCAAGCCTTGCACCAACTGCTACAAACAAAACGCCGCCGTTTTCTCCCCGAACTCCTCGAGCACGTACAAAACGGTGCCGTGCCAGTCCAGCGCGTGTGATTCGCTCCAGATCGAAGTAGGAAGCTACTGCTCATCAAACGACGGCGTTTGTCAGTACGAAGCGAGCTACGGGGACCAGTCACACACCAAGGGAGACATAGCCGTCGAAACTCTTACGCTGGGGTCCACCGTCGGTCCCCGCCGCCACGTGGCATTTCCGAAGATGGTGATTGGTTGCGGGCATGACAATGCGGGGACGTTCAGCCCGAAGGGTTCGGGTATCGTTGGACTCGGAGGCGGGTCGGTTTCCCTCGTGACCCAACTCGGGCCGCATATCGGCGGAAAATTCTCCTACTGCCTCGTACCGTCTTCCGCGGCAGCCGAGGCGACCAGTACG